ACCTGGATGTTCCACAGCACTACTAGGCAAAAATATTCTGTGGACAGATGAAACCAAAGTTGAGTTGTTTGGAAGGAACACACAACGCTATGTGTGGAGAAAAAAAGGCACAGCACACCAACATCAAAACCTCATCCCAACTGTGAAGTATGGTGGAGGGAGCATCATGGTTTGGGGCTGCTTTGCTGCCTCAGGGCCTGGACAGATTGCCATCATCGACGGAAAAATGAATTCTCAAGTTTATCAAGACATTTTGCTGGAGAACTTAAGGCCATCTGTCCACCAATTGAAGCTCAACAGAAGATGGGTGATGCAACAGGACAACGAGCCAAAGCACAGAAGTAAATCAACAACAGAATGGCTTCAACAGAAGAAAATAGGCCTTCTGGAGTGGCCCAGTCAGAGTCCTGACCTCAACCCAATTGAGATGCTGTGGCATGACCTCAAGAGAGCGATTCACACCAGACATCCCAAGAATATTGCTGAACTGAAACAGTTCTGTAAAGAAGAATGGTCCAAAATTCCTCCTGACCGTTGTGCAGGTCTGATATGCAACTATAGGAAACGTTTGGTTGAGGTTATTGCTGCCAAAGGAGGGTCAACCAGTTATTCAATCCAAGGGTTTACATACTTTTTCCACCCTGCACTGTGAATGTTTACATGGTGTGTTCAATAAAAACATAACAACATATAATTGTTTGTGTGGTTTTAGCTTAGGCAGACTGTGTTTGTCTATTGTTGTGACTTAGATGAAGATCAGAACACATTTTATGACCAATTTATGCAGAAATCCAGGAAGTTCCAAAGGGTTCACATACTTTTTCTTGCAACTGTATGTTTTATGTCATGATGAACTGAATATATTTGGGTTTTGGACTGACAACAAAAGAGGTTTTGAGAAAATATTTAGGTCTTTCAGAGACTTGGATTTACATTTTTGACTATTTTCAGCACCAAACCAACACAAATCAAAATAATCTTAAAATGTGTTAGTTTTAGTCTTACAGTAAAGAACAGTTGTCTCATAGTGCCTTATATGTTATTACCTATGCTGTTATGCATTTTAATCACTTGTTTTCCACTTTTGTTAGAACCCATGGAGGAGGACATCCTGCAGGTGGTGAGGTTCTGCACTGATCTGATCGAGGATAAAGATCTGGAGAAATTGGATTTGATTATAAAATATATGAAAAGGTAGGTACAGTCCCCCCCCCCCCC